CTAGAGGCAATGTTTTTTAAACCGAACCAAGCTCAAACCATTCTAATTTTTGGTTCTTAATTTTATTGGCTTAACTAACTTGATTAGGGGTGCGTTTGAAATTGCAGTTGAGAGTTTTTTCATATAGTCACATAGTATTTTTAGATAGATGTGCGTTTGGTCATTTTTTTTCATATTGTTTTTTTTAAGTTACAAAAAACCACAGCTAAAACCAACTTTTAACTCTTTACTTTACAAAATTGGTAGGTTTTAGCTCCTAACCTTATAATATAACACTTTTAGCCTTTCACTTTACAAAATTGGTAGGTTTTAACCTCCCATCTTATAAAATTGGTAGGTTTTAGCCCCTCATCTTATACTATGACACTTTTAATCCATTATCTGTATGAATTAAAAAAAATAATCCTCACTTAACATCATGTTATAATATTATGTTAATTCTATTAGTTGACTGTAAATTCTGCTAACTGACTGTAAATTCTATTAACTAACTGTTAGTTCTGTTAACTGACTGTTAACATCCGTTAGCATTCTGTTAATGAAATTAACAAATAAAATTGAATTTAAATTTAATATTTTCTATAATGGAATACTAACAGATGTTAACAGTCAGTTAACAGAACTAATAGAACATTATAACCTGATGTTAGGTGAAAGTTATTTTCTTCAATTCGTATGATAAGAGGCTAAAAATATTATAATATAAAATGAAATGTTAAAACCTATCAATTTTGTAAGGTAAGGGGCTAAAACCTACCAATTTTGTAAGGTAAATGGTTAAAAGTGTTATGTTATAAGTTGCGGGGCTAAAACCTACCAACTTTGTAAGGTAAGGGACTAAATGTTAGTTTTTGTCAAAAACCACAGTAGATATACAGTACTTTTATATATATAAACAAAAGTCTCATTTTAAAACTTTCTAACTGTAATTTTTATGGATAATACCTGATATTTAATATAGTTATAAAATTACCCATTAAAACTTAATTTTATATAATTTAATTATATCATATTTTATAATATTTTAATAATATTTAATATAGTTATAAAATTACCCATTAAAA